CAAAAAAGTACTCCAGAGTGTTGTTCAGCATGGGGGTGAGTAGAAAATGAAGGCTAATCATGTTTTGGGTGTACTATTCCTTTAACAATATTACTTTAATATGATTATAAACTAAATAAAGGCCTCATAAAGACTTCCACGAAGGCCAACGACAGATTTCTGTGAAAACTTATTTTACCATCTTTAACAGAGTTGTCAATTAACAAAGTAGAAATACTTACAATACAACAATACCTCCCTCATCGTTGGCCTTATCTCAAATAACTCAAATAATTTTACAGTATAGTCGAAAAATTGAGCTTTCAATTCATATAGTGGTATATGGCTGTTTTGGGTTTTTTTGAAGGTTACTTTATACTTTTATACTTTAAGTCGTTTTTGGAGCTCATGCTTTTTCACCTTTACTTGAGTAAAGAGGTCAAGTTGATACTTCAACTTTTACCAGAATGTTTTAAACTGCAGTATCTATACTTCTACTTAAGTAACAAATGTACTTTTGAAACCACAGATCTTTAATGAGATTCTCTTATAAATCATTTTAGAAAAATTAACCATAAAAGCCAAAACACATGAAACACAAAACTTGGAGTCAGTAACAAATTCTGTAATAATAGACCCTAATATGTAAAATATCGAATAGCATTATTCAATAAATTGATATGCCCATTTATCAATAGTGAATTAGGTCTACCCTTACAAGGGATTAAGTAAATCTGTGAAATTTAATTCGATAAGAAATAATTTAGGTTACAATTGATATATTCCACAGATCATTAGCCTTATGACCCTTTTTTATGCTTAGTAATGGGATACTAATACTTTTTTAACAGAATTTGAAGTGAAGCTAAACTATGTTAGCAAGAGTTCTGCATAGCTACAGAAACAGGTTTGACATTTTAAAGCATAACTTACATTACTCCAAAGAAACTTCCGGCCACAGATATTTCAAAAATTATCACATTTCTGTAAAAATTTCAGGCATTTCAACCATTCAAAACATGTGTTTTTTTTTTTCCTTTTTCCAAAAGCTTTTAGGTCGTATGAGTAACTGACAGAAAACTAATCTCCAATTACAATACTAGGCAGATGATGCAGCCTTGGTTTTATGTAGTTTTCTATCACTTATTAAACTTTAAAATGGGGCAACCATAATTTTTGTCAGTCCCTAAGCAAACCATCACCGCACAGAGTGGAGCTGCTGGCTTCAGTTCTCTCAAGTTACAACACAACCCCGGCTAATGGGTCTGTGTACCTTGAGGCAATTCGTTCTTTTTTCCCCGGAAAACCAAAACGAAAAACAGAAACTACTTCCGTTTTTCCATTTAAAATCAAAAACGGAAATCAAAGCCGTTTTTCTGTTTTTGTCAACACAATTTAGAAACGAAAAACTAAATGAAAAAAAAGGCTTTTATTTTTAAATATTTTCCTGCACTTCCAGGCCATCCGTGAAACCATCTTCGTCTTTCAATCCTAAAAGGAAAATGGAAAAAAGAATTGGGGAAATCAAAAAATGGACCTTTTTTTTCCATTTAGTTTTTCGTTTCTAAATTGTGTTGACAAAAACGGCTTTGATTTCCGTTTTTCCGTTTAAATGGAAACACAGAAGTAGTTTCGGTTTTTGGTTTTGGTTTTCCGGAAAAAAAACAAATTGCCTGAAGGTACACGGACCCTAGCCTGGGTGCCATTCCGAACTTAGTCCCGCCCACAAGGTTTGAGGTCGGGAAGTTCGGTCTGGCTCTGCTCCATAGTAGCGCGAGTATGATCGCCCACTCTCTGGCGATCCAATCAAATTGTCAGGGCGGGCTTTATACGATAATGGACAGATGATCAACAGTAACGTAATCAACCACGTCACCAAAGCGCGCTTGGGTNGGACTACGTCAGGCTACACAGACCCTAATGCAATACCAAAAATCAGATGCAGTAACCTCTTGTTCGCCGGAGGAGGGTGCAAAACAGGAAGTTTTAGATTTACTATAAAACATTTACCATATTGGCCCGAATAAGAGACAAGTTTTTTGTTTTTTTTTTGTTAAAAACAATGTGAAAATGTGGGGCCGTCTTACAATCGAGTTCTAACCTATCAGACAGGTTGATAGCTGTCTGGGGTCGCTAAACAAACATAACAGCAGAAGGCATCAGTTTTTTGTAAAGCCCTTGACCTTACTGTGGCCAGGGTCATCTTTTTATCACAACAGAGAAGAAGTGACAAGAATGCTACAAATGGACAGTCGCTGCGCAGAACAAAGTGGATCAAAAGTCAGACAAGTTTGCCAACATTTGAGGTCCCGCTCAGTGACACACCCACTGAGAACCCCACTCTGGTAATTGGCAGCTCCAAAGTCAGAAACGTGACATTAGAGACACCGGGGTCCATAGTCAAATGTCTCCCAGGGGCCAGACTGGGAAACATCAAATCCTACCTGAAACTGCTGGCTAAGGATAAGGTTAAATATGGTAAGATTGTTATTCACACTGGAGGTAATAACACCCGGTTACGTCGATTAGAGGTCAACAATATTGGTGTTGCTTTGGCGTGCAAGTTTATCAAAACAATATCAGACTCTAATTTTCTCTGGTCCCCTCCCTGATCTGAACGGTGATGACGTGTTTAGCCGCATATCATGATTCAACTGCTGGTTGTCTAGGAGGTCTTGTTCTGTGCATGTGTGGATCTTGTGTGCTTGTGTCAATCACGCTGCGAGTCTGTGGATCTTGTCCTTTGTGTGTAGATTGTTTTGTGCTTGTGTGAAACGTGCTGTCCTGTGCATGTATAAATCACATATGTGTATTTGTGAAAATTGAGACCATCTAGATCCATACTTTTAATGTTGCTGTAATTAAACCTTTAGATAAGAAACAACCTCTTGATCCAGATGACTTGGTCAATTATAGACCTATATCCAATCTTTCTTTCTTATATACATTTTTTGAGAAAGCACTTGCCAAACAAGTGTGTGACCACTTACACCATAATGAACTTTTTGAAGAGTTTCAGTCTGGCTTTAGAGCTCATCATAGCACTGAAACAGCTCTGGTGAAAGTCACTAATGATATTCTCATGGCCTCAGATAAGTGACTTGTATCTGTGCTCGTCCTGTTAGATCTCAGTGCTGCAGTTGATACAGTTGATCATAATATTATTTTTAAAAGACATGAATATGTTGTAGAAATTAAAGGAACAGCACTAGGCTGATTTAGATCTTATTTATCTAAGAGATGTATTCACGTTAATGTTAAATCTTCCTCATGCTCCAGGGTTATATATAGAGTACCACAGGGATCAGTGCTAGGACCAATTCTCTTTACTATATATATATATATATATATATATATATATATATATATATATATATATATATGCTCCCAATCGATAGTTATTAGAGAAATGGGAGCTACTTAGAGCTTGTCTGCCTGGCTGTGCGTTTTCCTGCATGTCTGTTTCTGTCTCCCCAGTCATGTGTCAGCAGATGTCCGCTCACACTGAGCACAGTTCTGCTGGAGGTTTCTTCCTGTTAACAGGGAGTTTTCCTCTGCACTGTCAACACAAGCATGCTTGGTGTGAGGGATTGCTGTAGAGTCAATCAGTTGATTCAACCAGCATTCCTTAGAAAACATCGAACCAATCTGATTGTATGATCTGGTCGAAGTGTTTCTGTAAAGTGCCTTGACATGGCATGTGTTGTGAATTGGTGCCATTTAAATAAACTGAACTGAATGGAAAGAGAATAAACGATATTGTCCAAAGCAGAAATTCCACAATAATAATTACTTTTATTACATTTTAAATATTTAGTGTTTATCTATTCAGTGTTTATCCGAAAATATAATGTCTTAATTTGTCTGTAAACACCCTACATAAAAAGATGTTAAACTAATAATTCTGCACAACAACTCTGTAAGTTAAAACGACTTTCGCTGCTAAAATATTAAGGGTGTTGGTGTGTAAACTCTCACCTGACCGGTGACAGGGACACGTCGAAGTCAAACTTCTCATCTTGCAAAAAGCACAGATCTGTTTAGGAGAAATAACACAGGTTAAAACGTCAATAAAACGCTTCCAGAGCAAAGTGGAGGAACTGACGTCTACCTTTGTTAGCTCGGCAGTCCATCTTGCTGTGTTCTGTTGCTCTGAAGGAAACAGACCCACTCAGTTCAGTGCTACACGGGACTCTTGAAATAGACTTATAAGACACAAATGAAAAACTGGAAACTACAACACTGACGCTAACGTCGAGCTAATTGGACGTTAGCTTGCTAGCATGTTTCCAGACATTATCAACCATAGACATAGACTACAATCGCGAGCTATTAGCATGAATGACAACAAACGGAAATAAAATAAGCTTCAATAAAATAATATTCAAACCTTAAATTCCTCTGAAATGGTTTACGCTCCGCATTCAGACTTCAACGAGACAACACACCTAGCAAATAATTCAAATCTCTTGCGCTGTTGTTCACGTGAATCGGTAGCCCTCTATGATTGGTTGAAAGGTGTTTGACGTATCAGTGAGGGGGATTATGGGTTTGTAGTCCCTGACCGGCTGGGATCAAGGTAAATAAATGAAAACGAAAGATTTTCTAAGTAGTACTGGACGTAATGATATAATAGAGACACGAAATGCTAAAAAGATAATAAGCCAATCATTTATCAATATTATTGTAGTGTTTTCTTTAACAATAGTATCAGAATTTACAATATACTTTAAATCCATGTCTTATAATGATGAAAATTATTCTACGTCATTGTTATTTATCATACATTATTAGTATCATTATGATAACTGTTGTTTTCTATATTTACTAATTCAGAAAATAATGTAACAACTTTCATTTTTGCACTCTTTTTGGTAGCTTATACTTTACACCACTAGATGGCAGTGTAGGAGCTACAATTTGATTCATTCTATTTCTATTCATTGTATTCCTTGAATTGCCAGATTTCAGTAACCAGCAGTCTCAATTAAAATGATCTGCAATGTTTACAGCAAAGAAATCAGTTTTACCTCTATATAAAAGTTGGTTTATTTATGTTGGGTGTTTCTTTACTGATGGGAAATTTGTTCAACAACTTTCCAAGATAATGCTGTTTATCAAAAAAATTTAACCCTTTATAGGGCAGGTTACTGTTTGTGATCACTTGCATACCCCTTACAAATGGAATCCCCCCTGTCCCTCATTGAGGTCTAGAAGCACAAGATCTATATCCAGCCATCCAGCAAAGATGCTGCTACATGGCTTATTTTGGCATTTGACCAATTAGATGAGCCCTTGAATGATATATTACCCAATGTATATTAACTTGGAAAAAAAGTTAACAAGTCAAGAAAAAAAGGTAAAAAGCTAATTTAAAAGTTAAAAAATTCAGTTATAAAGCTAGTACGCCAAGTTAACAATTATATTTAGGTTTATAAACTAAAAAATGTAGGTGCCATGCCTCTAAGGTTATGTTGTACCAATAAAAATGCGTTTCTTTCACTCTCAGAGTGTTTTTCATGATTTTTTATAGAAGTACTTTTATTATTTTTATTAATATATTCGGCGTTTCTTGTTATTACATTGACATAAATTTTTGCTATCAAAATATCCATATTTTTTTAATGTTACAAAGGTCTTGACCTGGATTCCAATAACACTATTGGCTTGAGAGCTGGAAAAAAAATTGAAATCTAGATAACTCTTTTTTTTCCTTAAATTAAGTGCATTTATTCTTGGATTAAGGAGGCAACAGAGACATCTTGCCAATGGAATAAGATCATTTTAATTTAAAATAGGAAAACACAATTGCATTTTCTTATTTCAAGTTATCTAAATATCTTATTTTAAAAGTAAAAATACTCACTCATCTCATTCACCTGCTCAAATTAAGGGTAAATACACTAAATTTAAGATTTGTTTTTACTTATTTCTGGATCGTTTTTTTCCAGTGAAATTTAGATTTTCAAAGTATTTCACTGAGTGCCCTATAAAGGGTTAAAAGTATGTCAATAAAAACCACTGTTTACTGTTCACTTTTACACAAACCAAACAACAAGAAGAGTCTCTATTTTCAAGCCTTAACTTAAGTGCGCTGTACTGACTCCTGATGTATACACTGCTGACACATGTAAAATAACGACAGACAACCACACTTTATATTGATAACATTTATTTAGAAATTAACAGCAGTTAATTAACAGCAGTAATATGTTGTTGAGTCCAGAAGCATAGACCAGTATCAGGTATTGCAGGTTAAGAAAGACCTTTCCATTACTAAGGGTTTGGACCCGTTCTTCCGGTTCAATTTGCATGTTTTCTAAGCCATAACAAGGCTTTGTTGGGCTGATCTATAAAGCTTGGAACTCAACGCAAATTCAGATACTTTGAATTTTAAAATGGAAGCGAATAATTTTGAAACTTGGTTAAAAAAAAGTCCAGTGGATTGTTTTTTTACTTTTTTTTTTTTACTTTTTTTTGGAATAACTATGACCTGGATGATCGGGAATCTTCACCAGAACATTAGTTTGCTTATTGCCAACAGTTTAATATCACACAATACAACATCAAACAGAAAGCTGGAGCAGACCATAGGATTACTATGCAGGTACAGGAACCTTCGTTCTTTCACTCTCACCTGCATGAAAATATTATGGCAAAAAAACTGATGTTTTGTGAGACTAGAGCTTCAGAAACAGGTCTTAATTGGATCCCCTTTCCATGGGCTGGGTCTTTGTGTGTATATAAACCAGCACTGGAACCAGAATGTGAAAAATATGCACATCAGACATTGACATTTTTTATTGTTTTTTTTTATTTGTCATGGAAATTTCCACAGAAAATTCAGAGCTCTATCTTCACCCTAAAATTAATTCAATGCTTAGTGCTGAAGTAATCTACAAAATCGTACACTTGAAGCCTTCAAGATGTCTTTATAGTGTTGACTAAGCATCTTGTGCTCTTCTTCATAAACCCTGCTCTTTTTTCTTTCTATTTATTCTGGGTTTGCTTTTTCTGCAACAATTTTTATTCCAGGGTTTATTTAGGAACGGCAGGATTGACATCACCTAACCAAACGGGCTCCACAACTGAAAATATGTCCACTGTTTGGGTTTAGGGAGCAATAATCATGTTTGCTTTAGGCAGCAGTTTGCCAGATATGTTGGATGATCTGTATAACTGAATGCTGACATTATTTGTGAGGCAGTGCTTTCTGTAATCAGCTGAGCCTTAATATTTTACAATGGCTTGTTTCTTACTATGAATATGGAGGAGAGTTTGCGTTTGTTTGCAAAACCTTTCTATTATTGAAATCACTCATTCTCTCTGACAGAGTGAAGCAAGTTATTTGCAAAACAGAAAGCTAAGAATCTGTGAGCTCTGATTTTGGTTGCTCTCTCTTATTGGTTAAATTCAATGGCCTCAATTTGAATACCTTAAGCTGTGGCAGAAGTGGGCCAGTCGCTGCTATATAAGGTTAGAATAGAGTTGAAAGTATGAAAGGATCAAGGACTCGTAAACAGGATGTATGCTAGTGCCAGTTCATCTTGCATAGGGACCTCCTAAAGCACCTATCCACCACTAGGAGCAGTATGGTTTCCCACAATCATTTGCATGACAGCAAAATAGGTGCAACCTATCCTCGTAGAGTTGAACAAAAACACATGATTTCTTAATGTGTACTCTATGTGTACTGTAGTTAGGAAATGTGTAACCAGTGTCAGAACTGGTTTTAGCTGCAACATGTGTATCCAATGGACGTGAAATATATGTATTTTGTACAGCGCATTCAAAGATCCTAATCATATACCTACTGACAGGGGAACTTTGTGTAAGGTTTCTGTTTTCTGTCATGTTTTTCTTTTGAGTATCCAGTTTTGCTTTTCTCCTTGTTTCCTAGTTTTTATGGTTTAATTCCTAGTTACTGTTTCAGTCTTGGTTCTGTTATGTTTTCTTTTGAGTGTTTAGTTTTTCTTTTCTCCATTTTTTATTTGTTGCCCTCTGCTGCCCTCTTGTGTTCTCTTTTCTCCCTAGCTGCTATTTTGTTTCTGCTCTGTCCTCACCTGTTCCCAATCTTCTCATTAGCCCTCTCTTTGTCTCTATCTCCTTTAAAAGCCCTCTCTCTTCAAATCCTCTTTGCTGGGTCTTTGTCTTACTTCGTCAATCTTCCTCTAACTCGTCTCTCTGAGCCTTCCTCCTGGTTACTATAATTCCCCTGATGACTCCATGGATTCTGGTTCTTTTTTACTTATTTTTCATGCTTTGAATTTTGGACTTTGTTTTTATTTTTGGATTTTAGATTCTTGGTTGCCAGTTTGTTTGGACTTTATTTTTTTCAGTAACTCTTCAATAAATCAACTATAAATTCACCTCTGCCTGCCTGCCTCTGCTTTTGGGTCTTCGATCCACAAACGAATCCTGACACTTTTCCGTTTACATATCAAAACGTAGAGTTAGAAGCCATCCTGCCACAGCTGTTCATCACCATAAAGATTATTATTATTCATAGCTTCAGTATTTGACAGTTATTTCTACTAAGGAACCCATTGTTTAGGCAGCCGGTTGAAATGGGCGCGTAACAAAAAAAAAAAAAAACACAGAGTGAATACCCTGGAAATAATCAGATAGATACAGTGGTGACATATGGGGTTCTACAACATTTATTTGGAAATATTAGGTGGCTTTTTCATAATCTTCTCCTTACTTATTATGGCAGGTTGCATTTCAGCACCTGGTGTGTGAAATAAATAGTTGTGTGTTATTAAGATAAATTAATTTCCTAATTAAACTGATCTTCTCTTTGTCACCTTTCAGTTCTTCTAAACCCTATTCCTTTCCTGCTTTTCTTACCATTATTCACAGTTTCCCTATTTTATAACTGTGCATTCACTGTCAGGGTTTGGTTGAGGTTTGGAGGACCCAAATGCAGAGGCAGACAGGCTGAGGAGATTTCTGGGTAGTTTAATGGGGCAAAAACAGCAACAAAGGCAGGAATGCAAAAATCCAACTAATAATCAAGCAAACCAAAACAGTGGAGACATCT